TTGCCTACTTTGCTTCTCTGATTATTGTGTATTAGAAGCCAAGTAGTTCATCCATTGTGAAGAGGTTAAAACAGATGGTCAGTGTTACTTTGCAACAGTACAAAAAATAATTTTATTCCTGAGCGATCAACAATCATTTTAATAGATTGGGTGATATTCTGTTTAAATGAGAAAATATTTACTTGCTTGAATATAGTAATTAAGTTCAATGAAGAGCGTGTGTCTTTCCTATTTCGAAATGCGACTGGATTTTCTTTTCGACCAAATATTTTCGATAAATAATAAGTGATAATAAAATTAAATTATTAGTTTCTATTAATTGTTAAGTGAGTTAGCAGCACGACAACTGTGTAATCTGTGTAGTTATTAGAATATAAAAATTAATGCTTAATTTAAGTTGAGATTAGGAAAGCTACCCTCAACGTTATCATGTAAAAATACGACAGGACTTTCTTCTTTCCAAACTAATATTTCTTTTTTATCATTTCACTTCATGAAAGACAATAAAGCCACTGTGATGCATTTCTACTGAGATCTGAGAAAAAAATTCTTAAGGTGAGAGAGCAATAAAAAAACAGTAAACTCGAAAGGCTGGTATGCCGGAGACTGTTTGATAGTGCTTATACCCATGTGACCCGTATACCGGCGGCTGTGTGAAACCGGCCGTTATACTGATCGCTCTGTGAATATGCTTAAACCCCAAACACCTGGTACAGCGGCGACTGTATAAAAGTGCTTATAACCGAACGTTAGGTATACTGGCGGCTGTGTGAAAGGGCTTATTCTCGGGCGACAGAGTCAACGACAGCAGAGATGAGCAGCAGCGACCCAAGGTGGGGATATCTGTACTCATCAGGGGGTCAAATTTCAAGGTGTTACGAAAACAGAATATAACGATAGATTTAAATTTTTGATGGTCAAAGGTGACTGAAAAGCAATTTCAAAGTTTGTGCGTTTGCCGTTTCGAAATTCTGAAAATTTAGTATGCATAATTATGGTTGCTTCCACGCATGTGCATGGCAGTGTGTGTGTGTGTGTGTGTGTGCATGGCAGTGTGTGTGTGTGTGTGTCATTGTGTATGTTTGTATGTACAGATATTACGTAAAATTCTGACATCACAAATAGACGCTTTAGGAAATTTATCTGCCTAGTCAGGCGGAATATGATATCTGACAAGTTTCAAAGTAGAGATTCCACGGGTACATAGTATTGAACTTAAAATTCGCTTAGTTTCCTCCGCATTCTTCCGTAAAGATGCCTCAAGCCACAAGGATTGGGTCCCTCTACTCCAATTTCAACAAAGTGGCGACGGTAACCTGGATCTGATCAGAGTAATTACGAAAATAAAGGAGTTTTGTTTTGCCAGTCGATCGATTTATATCTACGCGCAAATACCGTTGGGAAATGTATGAATCCACTTCTTCTCCCTCCAGCTATGGGTTAATTAGTAGAATTTGTATCAGTAAAAATCATTAGTTAGTTTAGAGCTATATGTGATACACATCTGAGCGATCATGTTTCTTTCATTTCATGATTGATAGGCTGTCGTTTCTTTCTACGGTAGACCGGTTGCTAACGAAGGCTTTTGGGCCCAGCCTGGCCTACTATTCGACCCATAGTTGGGGTTCAGAATAGATTGATTCGTACCTTTCCCAAGGGTATTTGCGCGTGAGTAAATTTAACGAACCTGATCACGGCTCTCGTTTTTTCCTCATTGCCAGACGTTACTCGTTACACCACGACACACATCGAAATATTCCACTTTATTTAGATGACTTAAAAGTAAAAGTCTAAAATGTTATAAGTTGGCGGTTAAAAACATTCAGATCTGTAAAGAAATATATACGTGCGTGTTATACGTGCGCAAAAGTTCGAAGCCTCCTCTCGTTAGCTGAAGATTGAATACACTGTAAGTCACCATTTTGTTATTTTTTAAAATGTTTTACATACTTTACAACTGCAACGAACAATATTTGCATATCGAAAGTAAACTGTAATAAGGTTATTATTACGTATTGTGCTATGTTTCAGCTAAAGACGAATTTCAAATATGTTTTTTTTTTTCATTTAAATGCAACTGGATTCTACTTGGTGGTATGAAAAAAAATAGAGCAGCTTAACCTTAGCCATGTTCTTAAAGTGTTGTTCAGCCATTTAAAAAGAAATTAAAGAAAAAAGATTGATTTCACAAAAACATACAAAGACTATCATGTTAAAAACAGGTTGAAGATGTTGGTAAAGAGTATGGGTAGGAAGGCTTTTGGAAAAGCTGTTTACAATTGATTAGAACCAAACAGTGAAACACCAGGAGAACGTGACAGGAACAATTGTTTAACGCCAAAAGCTGCACTGAATGAAAAAAAGGAAAATTCATATAAAAAAAAAACTATCTTACAAAGTGTCTTCACTTTTAATGCATTTTTCAAGAAAAAAAAATTAGCCTATTAAAAAATTTTATGTTGGTTCCCATGTATTATGGAATGTTTATACATTGTTAATGTGGTACAAGACCGTTGGGAGAATGGCGAAAGACTGGTCTTCACTTACTATTCTACACTTAGCTAATCTCATCCACGGCCAATTCATCCTACAATTGACCTATTCCCCATAAGTAGCCCTCCTTCAACACCCAATCAAACATGTTTACCAAAATACGTCATATTCACAGGAAACCTGCTAAAAATATAAAAATTTTAACAATATACAATTATATTTTTCCGCAATGTTTTACAAAGTTTTCTTCTAAAATTGTATCATGAAATGAAGGTGAAGGGGGAGAATGAACCCAATCAGGAAATAAACAAAAAGAAAACATTCAAACTAAAATAAAATTGTTTTAGTAAAACCCATCCAACGCAGACAAAAATAAGAGCGGCCGCTGTATTCTGCCGCAAAGCAGATTCAAGCGGTTCACTTGGAAGGGACAAAATAAATTACGGAGTAGGGAAATATCAAATGTTGATCCATTCAAGATAAAGAAAGGAGATAAAAAAAAACAAAAAACAAATTGGGGTGATTCGGCATCTTGACACGACTCATAGCAAAAGAGAACACGGAGAACAGGACGGGAACGACAATCACTGATATTATCTAGCAAAAAAAGAAAAAGAGTATAGTTTAACCGGGGATAAGGTCCCCCAGGAATCCGTTTCGTTCGGCCTATAGGGAACTAAAAAAGAAAATCAAAAATTTAGAGTGGAATGTTTGTTTCGATATTTTTGCATTTCATGTTGCACAAGGCCGAATTGGAAGTTTGGAAAGCCTTGTCGTCACTATCCTTCACCTAACTAATCTGATTCACGAAGCATTCATTCATACAATTGGCTCACACTTATATATATATATATATATATATATATATATATACGAGAAAATTAGCAGACAGTTACTGATATCTCCTGAGGAGTGGACAGATCAATTAAACAAAGGTTCGTCTATTCGTCTACGAAATACCAAAGTAGAGGCGCTGAATATTACATCAATCAGTTAAGTAAAAAAAATTATATTTGTATTTCTCTCTCTCTCTCTCTCTCTCTCTCTCTCTCTCTCTCTCTCTCTCTCAGTATATATATATATATATATATATATATATGTATATATATATATATATATATATATATATATTGGGCAAAATAATTGGTTAAATTCCAAGAAAATTTATTTAATATGGAGTTGGTCTTTCCTATAGCCTCACAGACAGCTTTAATACGTCTAGGAATGGAATCATACAGCTTCCTGACTTCATCCAGAGGAATTTTCATTCATTCTTCCATTAAAACCTTCTCCAGCTCTTTATGACACGACGGTGGAGGATAGCGGCTCGTAACTTGTTGCTCGAAAATGCACCACAAATGTTCAATAATATTGATATCTTGAGTTTGGGGAGGCCACTCCATGTGTTCTAGCTCACTTTCCTGCTCTTCATACCAATTCTTAACCACTCAAGCGGTATGTATTGGAGCATTATCGTTTTGGAAGATGCAGTCAACATCAGGGAATAAAGTCTTGGCCATTGGATGAACAGGATCTCCCAAAATGTTCAGGTAATCTTTGCTGTTTATTCTACCATGCAGAGCAACTATTGGGCTGAGACATTTCCATGATATGGCGGCACAAACTATCACTGATCCACCTCCATGCTACACTGTTGGAAGAAGACAGTCAGGGTTGTAAGCTTCTTTGGGCTGCCTCCACACATAAACTCGCCCTGAAGTTGGGAAAAGAGAAAAAACTGGACTTGTTTGAGAATATGAATTGCTTCCATTGGTCTGCAGACCAGGCATTGTGATCTCTGCACCACTTCAACCTCTTTTGAATGTTGCGAGTGGAGAGAAGAGGTTTCCTCACAGCGGCTCTTCCATAATATGCAGCCTTATGGAGCTCACGGTGAACAATTTTAGTAGAAACTGAACTATTCAGATGGTTATTCAACTCAGCAGTCACTTTGGCCGCATTTGTCGGATGATTTTTTGACACATTGCATTTCAATGCACGTCAGTCCCTGTCAGTAAGTTTGCAAGGCCGGCCCGAATTGCAACGGTTGCTAAAAGTCTTGCCCCGTTTCTCGAATTGCATCAGTGTTCTTGACATGGTAGCTCTTGAAAAACCAAACAGTTCAGCAACCTTAGTGATCGAGGCTTCTGCCATGCGAGCTCCAACAATTTGTTCTTCTTCGAACTCGGAGAGGTCACGCATTTAGCTTAAATTTTACTAAATTCTAAAAATAAATCAGACAAAGACAGTAAATTAGATAAATAAACGTATTTACAATAGATATAACCTGCAATTACGAAATTTTAGTTAAAGTTCTTAATATAATAAGTCTTTGAAATATGGGAGTGGATTTTGCAACTACTATTCCAATTATTTTGTCCAACCCCTATATATATATATATATATATATATATATATATATATATATAATTCCGTTTGTTTTCGAATATGTAGATATTATCATTGATGGTATAATGGAAAGGCCGATTATTAAATAAACAGACGCTTACAGCTATATCACGTTGAAACACCTGTTCCCGTACGATCACCGAAGTTAAGCAACGTCAGGCCTGGTCAGTACCTAGCTGGGTCACCACTTGGGGAAACTAGGTGCTGTAAGGTTGGTTGGATGACGGGCCGGATAATAACTAAGAATTGTTAAATATACACACGTAGTGTTGATCAGCCCTTTCCAAAATATTTGAATCGCGCCCACCAATAAATTTGTTTCGACACGCACTTCTTACATCAACGAAGCTTTGGTAATAGAAAGCCAGACACTTCTCTGCCCAAGTGACATCGAATATTTCCAAGACAATTAATATTGTAGCGATTTTGTCGAAGATCGATCACGTAAATATCTCTTTCCGAGATTTTTTTTTACAGTTGATGCGCAAATATTGAGACAATTACTTCTTTTAAGCATTGTCTTAAAACAGATATTCATTTATTCATGGAAAGTAAATTGCAGTTTTCCGTTTGCGAAATGGACGGCTTTGCATAAAAACTATATATATGTATTTTGTTTCCTTTTAAGAAGAAATAATAAACGACTTTTTTCTGTCTAGAATTCAAATAGCAACTGTTACTTAGTCAAAAGAAATTAACTTCAAGGCAAAAGAATTACAATAATGTCGAGGTCATGATTTTAATCCTGCTAGATGTAACGAATAATAATAATCAATAATTAAAACTCGGGTTGTATTTAGTGATATTGTAGCGGACCATAGGTTTACGTGTTGTTAAATTAGGAACACGTATGTTTATTCCTGCCAGAAGAAGGTTCAACTACAAGAACATGGCAGACTCAGTGATTGAATCCACCATAAAGTGTAAAGAAAACCAACAAGACCGATATATATATATATATATATATATATATATATATATACAAAGAAGTATATGTATTAAACAATAAAATTTACAATAGACATAGACATTAACATTTGTGTTTGTGTGTGAACATAAAGAGTTTGTATTTTAGTGAATGTTCGTACGTACGTGTATGCGTGTATAATGTTCATGGCGTCTCCCACAAATGGGAAGACGCAATCTTCTGCGAGAGCTTACATTGTAGATCTGTTCGCTGAAAATGAATAAATGAAAAAGAGGACGAGGCCAGAATCGCCCAGTATTTATAGTGTATGGAGGGCGTCCCCTAGTGAACAATTTGGAAGGGGTTAACTCCGACAATATAATATACCGCCTGTAGCAGCAAAATTGTACTAATTATCCAGCCAACAAAATGTTTAATATCTAAAACAAATCACTAAACTAATTGAGTTTCTTTTTTCCAGGTTTTAGATAAGACATATAGCCATCTTGACACCATTTGTTGTAAGAATCACTGAAAAACCCTTTCAATTATTCATCTAGAAAGAGAAGAGGTTAATTGTTTTGTGTCAGCCCCACTATGTTTTCTCAGCTGAACAATGGTGAGAGGAAAAATATAATTCAGACCTTCAGTAATGTTACCGACATTCATACTCTGGCTTCCATCCTCAACGTCGATTCACGAACCATCAAGAGAACGGTGAATAGCTTAAAAATACGGGAACATTAGAGGGAAAAACAGGAAGAAGGATCATCATTTCAGCCTAGAGCTAACGAGAGCAATTATAAAAGATCCAACTCAGTAAGACGTTTGGCATTTGAGAGAGAAGTTTCAGCTGTGACAGTGCAAAGAGCAGTGAAAATGGTACGTGAAACCTGTGAAGCACCTCGTTACTCCAGGACAGAAATTTAGGTTAGAAAGGGCGAGAGTCATCTTGAATAAGTTAGAAAATGATCCTGAAGTTAGAAAATGATCTGAATATATATATATATATATATATATATATATATATATAGTATTCCAATATTAAGGTAAGTTGTATTTATGGAAAAAAGTGCTCAATATCAGAGAAAAGCGTATGTAAATATAATATAAAAGTGATTTATTTATTTATTTGCATTAATTATTTTTACTTGTTTTTGATTATGTATGTTGATTATTATTAGATCTAACGGTTATTTTAGCGGGAGCGATTTGTTAATTTGTTCATTTATTTATTTGGACTAATTTTTATTTGTTTTTTCTTATTTATTTAATTATTTTGTATATTTTTATTTATTCTATTTGGTTTTCGATTTTTGAGTAACGTAACAATGCTTTTTTGTTTTTTTATCGTTATATAGCAGTTAGAGTTATTTTGTACATCCAATTTTTGGATGTTGTCTAGTCTAACTGTTATTTTAACGGGATTGGTTTTGTAATTTGTTTATTATTATTTAATTAATTTATTTATTACTTTTACTTGTTTTTATGTATTTTATTTTTTAATTTTATATATTATATTTCGTCTATTCTATTGTTAACTTGTTTATTATTTGTTTGAGTTAAATTGTTTTAACTTTTTTATATTATTTTGTTTATTTGTGTTTATTCATTTCAGTTGTCGATTTTTAAGTAACGTAGTAAAATTTGTTTTCATGTCTGCATTTTGAGATAAGCTCAGATCGTTCATTTAGTAATTTTTTTTTTTTTGATCTGGAAAGATAATAATAGCTATTTTTCCTCCAAGCAAATTTTGAAGGTTTTGGATTGACTGTTGTCGGCTGATGGTCTTTTCATTATTTTCCATGACATTTTTGGTGTGATTTGTGTTTTAATTTCCCAGTTATACTTGGAAAGCATTGTGCTTGTCGCGTATTTACTATTTGTGAAATATATTTTGTGTGCATAGTTTCATTGTTTCCGGAGTCCTTCAGTTACTCCTATGTATACTTTTTCTTCATTATCTTGTGATTTTAACGTGACTTGGAATCTTACGTTGTTTTGTAAGCAATTACCGTTTAAGGGACATTCATTCTTTATTCTACAGTTACACGTGGGTTTAATTTGTTTGGGTGGTTTGTTGATAGTTTTCTTTTTGTGCTTTTTTTTATTATTTGTACCATGTTCTCGATGCAACTGTAGCTGATCTTTACAGTGTTTTTATTGAATATTTTGTGTAGAGTGCTTGATTCCAGGAAGTGTTTGTTTAAGAATTTCAGGAAAATTTTACCTACGTTTGTTTTCACGTTTTTGCTGTACGGTGGGTTGAACCATATGATATTTCTCTCCCTGGTGGCGTTTTTTGTGCTCTGTGGTGAGTATGTGAGTGTTGCCGGGAATTCACTATCTTTTAGGGCTGTTTCGTAGTCTTTTTCAGCTTCGTTCAATATGGTTTTATTGCAAGAATTGTAGGAAAGTCTGTAGTTAATCGATGTTGGTATCTGTTTGATTATTGAAGGCGAGTGATTGGAGGATGTGTGTATGTACAGTGGTTTATCATTGGGTTTTCTGTATGGTTTATATGTTACATCTAGAAAATTTACTTCGTTTAGGTTAGTTTTTATATCTATGTCAAATCCGTTATTTTTAATAATCCTTATACTTGCTTTTCTAGGTTTGTCTGTGTCTTGCTTGTTGTAGTTTCTTAAGATTATAAGACCGTCGTCCCTGTAGAGTCCTGTATCATTTTTATCTATTATCTCACTTAGTTCATGTAGTAAATATATACCGAGGTATATATTTACTACATGAACTAGCAGAGTTCTGTATCATTTTTATCTATTATTTTGCATAGTTCAAACTTTATAATTTGGTTCAACCCCACCTACAACAATAAAAAAATGGACAAAATTATTCTTCAAGCTAACTGACAAACACTTCCCTAAAATCAGCAAATTACCAATAAAAATACAATTAAAATTAGTTAAAGCTGCAGGGATAGCATGGGGGAAGTAATAGCTAAGCACAGTAAAAAATGCTGAACAAAACCAATAAGAATTGCAACAAAACCAATATTATCCAGCCAAATAACACCATCAAAGGTAATTATAGAAACAAAGAAAATTGCCCACTTAACAATCAATATTTATCCAAGAACATAATATACTAAGTTACAGTAACTAATATCATTAACACAGACAAAAATATTTATATATGCACTACAAAAAAAAAAAAAAAAAAAAAAAATATTACAACCACAAAATACAATTTAAAAGAAAAATATACAAGGAAGAGAGTTCCGGAGATTGACGTGGCCATGTCATAATTACCAAAATCTTGTTCCTTTTTAATCTAAGTAATTTTGACATATTTTAGAAAAATGTTTTGGATCGTTGTTTTGTTGTAAAGTGATTTTTTTTCAGTTATGCGTAAACAATTATACCTCCGCAGAATCGAACGGCAGTATTCTTTACCATGATTCTTTTAATCGGAATCAAATCCCCAGCTTTCTCTGTCCTAGAGGAAGACTGAAAAATAAAAGCAAATAAACTGTAGTTACAGAAATTTTACCTTTTACTTTCAAAAAATACAAAAAGATCTTATTTTAAAATAATTTTTTTAACGAAAGGCAGAATGGCCACAAACCCTTTGCTTTGATTACTTGGAAATTCGTCTATAAATTTTATTTCTCTTTCTCTTAATTTTCTATCTATCTATCTATCTATATATATATATATATATATATATATATATATATATATATATATATATGTAGAGAGAGAGAGAGAGAGAGAGAGAGAGAGAGAGAGATAAAGATTATTTAACTTTTAAATATCATTTTCTTTTGTTTTTCCAAACTTCGAAGTTTCTTGATAATGTCTATTCTTCAAGGAATCCTGCTTTTAAAGGAAAAAAAACAGAACTCCTTAAATTTAAATTAATTTTAAAACAATTAATTTAATTAAATGTATTTAAAAATCATAACCACTATTACCAAAAAACTTCGAAGTCGGGGAAAACGACATAACAATGATATTTAATGTTAAGTAATTTTTTATTTTTAATATTATTTTAACATTTTTAATATTTAGCATTGTATATAAAGAATACCCGCTGTTTCTTAAATCTTAAATCTATATATATTGAAATTGAAATATATATTTGGTCGAGTGAACGCGATAAGCACACTATCGCATGATCTGATTTTATGCAAAAATTAACTCTTAAGTAATTGTACGTGACTGCTAATATACACGAACTTCTTTCGACATTTGTTATTTCGGACGGAAGTAACATCCTATTTCGGACTTGTATGCTAATGTATGTTGATGCTTATCTTCTTTAGATGATGTCAAAATCCTTA